ATAAAATAAAGTTAATGTTTAGACTTGGGTCCCATCTCTGAAATACCTCATCATATATGAAAATGTCAGTATCTGGGAAAATCTGAAATACAAAAGGGATTATCCACCTCAGAACCTGTCACAGCGCCTATTTATATGTGGTTTGTACATATTTACTGAATGTCTGAAAAAATAAATCAGGTATAGTTTCTCATTATGTACATGGAAATATTCCAAAATCTGGAAAAATCTGAAATTGCAAACATGTTCAGTTCCAGACACTTTGAATTAAAAGATACTCAATTCATTGAACACACACACATTCTAGTTTTCCAAGTCTCTTTTCATCCATTCTCTCATTCTTCCATTGTCCATATAACATCAGGTCCAGGCTGCACTTTCTATAGAACAATCACCTCTATTGTATTATCCCTGGTGATAGTCAAGTGTGTTTCTTCAAAGTTGCTAGATTTTTAATTTATAAGCTGTCACGATGCATGAACATAGTTATCGAAAATCTTGGCTTCTGCAGCATGGTCTTGCTTATGTTGACTTATAATGTTACATCCATTTAGTGAAAGAATAATACAAAAAATTAGGAGACTGAAAAATTTTAGAGAAGTGAGAGTAGGTTGTCTGCTGCCTTGGGCATGGCGAGTTACGGGAAGCTGAGCAAGGATAATGTCAGTAAGTTGACCGATCTGAAAGTTGCCAGTAAACCCTATGGGCAGAGGAAGCTTTATTTCACTTGTGCTCTTTAAGTAAATGTAATTGTCAGAGTGTGCTACTTTATGGGAAAATAAACCCTCCCAAGCTTCTGTCCTGCGGATGGGCATGTGTGGGTTTGCATAGCTGTGATGCAGCTATGCATTTAGATGAGCTAGATGAGTACCTAGAGGGAGGAAGGGCTCATAAGAAGATGATAATCCACGTAGGCCTCTGCTGCTCTTCTTTACTCCCCCAGAGCAGTTTTGGGAACAGGAGGTTGCCAGTTGGAAACATCAGAAAGCTGTATTCTCAGGTGTCCTTACTGACAATTTCATGAGAAAGCTGTTATAGGCAATGAGGCTGTAGGTGAGGATTGGTAGTTTTTAAGACAGCAGTTTTTTTTTTTTAATGAAAGAAGTAAAAAGGATAAAACTGAAGATTTAATCTGATTTAGATCCCAACACTTCACTTTTTATCTGCAAAATAACTGCCAAAGGATAGGTAGGCAGGGGGAGGAATAAAGGAATCAACACCTTGAATACAGATTTTAAAACATCAGGAAACTAAGGGAAAAAATGAACAGCAAATTTCATTTTGAAAATAATGTTTTGATATTTTATGAATATTTTGTGATGATATATCTTTAGTCTTTGTAAGAAAAGCATAGAAAAATACATATGAAACATTAGCATTTTTATGCGGATACAATTATTTGTTAGTGGAGACAAGAGGAAAACAGAAAGAATTCCAGATTGGTCTGTCAGGATTTCAGAATAATACAATGATAGATGAAATTTAAAGTCAACAGTAAGCAAAGTAATATTGCTGAAGCCATGATTTTCCATAACTATGTTTATGCATTGTGACAGCTTATAAATTAAAAACCTAGCAACTTTTAAGAAATACACTCAGCCATATCTAGAGGTAATACAACAGAGGTGATTGTTCATAGAACAAAGCAAAGTCTGGACCTGATATTATATGGACACTAGAAGAGAAAGTAATTTTGAAAATAGCATTTAATGATTATTATTTGGTGCATTTATATGTCACACAATTTAAAAGTTATGGACTAAACATTTTTTTTCTCTCCAAACATCTTTTTTCTCTCCAAATTTGCATGTCGAAATCCTGATGCCAGTGCAATGATGTTAGCTGGGGGGCCATCAGAGGTGATTAGGTAATGAAGGTAGGGCTCTCATGAATGGGATTAGTGCCTTAGGACAAGAGATACCAGAGAACTCTCTCACTTTCTTTTGCTTTGTGAGGACACAGTAAGATGGCTGTCTATAAGCCAGAACCCTGGGCCTTGCTAGACCCTGAAACCTCTAGTCCCTTTACCTTTGCTTTTTCAGCTACTAGATATAAGAAATACGTATTTTGTTAAAAGATCTAGTTTGTGGTATTTTTGTTATAGTACTCCTAATGGACTAGAACAAAGGAAACCAAGAACCAGAGCTACTGTGAAATTATACATGGGCTAGGTAAGTTTCGTGAGTGAGGGAATGTGAGTGAGGAATTATGTTGACTGTGAATTAAAATAAAAATAAAACTTAATTTCAAAATCTATGTGATCTATTAATGTAGAATATTACTTAAGAGTCAAGATACATATTCAAGGGAGAAATATTAAAAGTCAGTTAGGTAAAATTGAAAATTGGCCCTAAAAGTTAAAATGAGAAAAGTCAAAGGTGACTTGGGAAATGTATCACTTTAAAGAATTTTTAGGAGGCCTTATGACAATTCTAAACCTCAAAAGCAAAAATTGAGATATTTGATCTTGTCACATATTATCTAGGACAAATTTAAATTTCTATATAGAAAGAAAACAAATGGCTTCTTAGTTGCCCTCCAGCTACAAATTATTATTTTTTATTTGGTATTACTGTGTTACCATAATATCAAAAAAAACTCATCTATCCTCTGAAATATTAAATAATATTGCTTGCGTTGTAGCTTGACACTATTATCTCTTCCTCTTCCTCTGACTCAATGAATTTTTTTTTTTTATCTCAGGCACAGGGGCTCCCTGAATTGTTGGTCACAGTGAAGGAGCTATGAACACTGGGCTGCCAATTACAGGATATTTTTTTTCTTAAAAATTTTTTTTCAGTGTATAGAGGAAGGTATATAGGCACAGTAATCAGAGAAGCCTGAATTTGAAACATATAATTCTTACCAGTTGACTGCAATAACAACACTGTTTCCTCATCTGCAAAAATAGGGCTACTTTCCACTTTGAAGAATGAGATCATTCAGTACTTAGATAAAAACTTTTTTTGGGTGGGGGACAGGGTCTCACTATGTAGTTGAGACTGATCTGCAACTCACTATGTAGCCCAGGCTGGTCTCGATCTCACAGCGATCCTCCTGCCTCAGCCTCCCGAGTGCTGGGATTGCATTGGTGCGCTACACGCCCAGCTCAAATCAATACATTTTGAGGTTTTTTTTCCTTTTCTTCTTATTTATTTATTGTTTGTTTTTTTGGTACTGGGGATAGAACTCGGGACATGGCACTCTTGAGGCAGGGAGTGGAACCACTGAACTAAATCTCCAGCCCCTTTTCTTCTTATTTATAATCCACCGGGGGCCTACTAGAAAATAAGACAGATTTGATTATTTTGGATTCTTAAACCAAAGAAATCATTGCTGGCTTCCAATAGAACTTTTAAACAAAACAGAATGAATCGAATCTCACAAATAATAAAAACAGCCACGCTGACAGCGTTTGAATAGCAAAGAGGATTTTAGGCAATAGGTATTAAATCAACATACACCTTCAGGATTCTTCAGACAACAATGTCAGTGGTCATTTCTTTGCTTGTATACAAGATTTTCAGAATGTCATGGGAAAAATTTACTCATTTGAATATATCAGGCTTTGAAGACTGAATGTAAATAAAGGCAGCCAGGGCCTCTTTTCGGATCTGAGAGGCCTGTCTCTGGATACCTGGAAGGTTAGAAAGGGTTTAACTCCCCAAGGGGGCCCATGTCAGAGCCCCCAGCTCCTTGGTGTCAGGGCCGTGAAGCCCCCCCCCCCTTTTCCTGCCTCCCTTTTCATCTGAGCTCCTACTCCACTCCGTTTGGCTGCGTCTCCTTTCCTATCTTCGCTTCCTCCCATAAACGCTCAAAATGGGAACGGAAGAATCTGAAAAGGGTTTTTTAATTAAAAAAAAAAAAAAAGAAAGAAAGAATGAAAGAACAGGAAAAGAATGCTCTAGTAAGGTTATTCACTGGGCTGTGAGTCGAAGGTGCGCTGACCCCTTAGTCCTCTGCTGACTGCCGCGGGAGGGGTCTGAGTCTCCTGCGGCAGGGCAGGGTCCCCGGCCAGGAGCGGCTCGGGATGCCGGGAGGAGCGCAGCTCCACCGCCCGCGCAGTGAG